CTTATTGACACAGGGTGTCTCAAAGTCAAGTGGTAGACCAAACTTACCTTTTTATAAATGGAATGCCGTACGTTTATTGCATATTGCTACTATTCGCACAATTCCAAGCCTGCTCGATATAAATGTTCTGTAATGATTTTCAACTGTTTTTGAGTTAATAACCAATATTGATTGAACTTTGGCCACCTCGTTTTTGCATTTAATTTGAGAGACAAGAGATTAACTAACAAGAGATTTAAATTTTTGAATATAATCTTCTGTAGTTTCATTAGTTTTAGAAAGGAATATTAGTTGTTGCTGCTAGTTAGTTCTAGTTATGGGGTCACTGAACTTTTGTTGAAGTGCATTTTTATTTCGTCCCAAGTTTGAAGATCTGGGCGAGTAAAGGAAAATCTTCAGCAGCACGTAATATATTAGATTTTATTGATCTGATCATTTAACTGATCAATTAATCAAGCGAGCAGTTTTGGGTTATAACAATTCTATTCACACTGTAACAAAATTTACTCCTTTTGAAATCATAACTGGTCACATTAAATTAGTAATTCTTTTCAGAGAAACCAAGGAAATGGGTCTCAAATGGAAAATCCCGATTGTGAAAATTCCGATTGAAAATGGTCAGATGAAACGGAAATACAACTAAATTCCTTAAATAATCCAATACTTCCGATTAAGCTAGTTTATAGTAAACATACATTTCTACGCTATATAGATTTAATTGAGATAATTACTCAAATGAAAAATGTAAAAAGCAATTTTCTAATTCTTAAAGGCTATTTAAAGTCACATAACGGTACTAACGGAATATCATATCATCAGTTATCAGAAAGTTTACTAATAAGAACCGACAACTTAATTCACATCGCATCAAGTAAACTTCAAAATTTAATACCAAATAATCGAAAAAAACGAGGTTTCTTAAATGTGGTAGGACAAATTAATAAATGGCTTTTTGGTACACTTGAGGCTTAAGACGGCCAACATTACAATGAAGCAATTGCTACTTTAGAGAGTAATCAAATAAATATCAACAATGAACTAAAACTTCAAATGTCACTATCCAAAGGTTTGATCGCCCATTACAATAAGACCATAACTACCCTTAACCACAATCAGGACAAACTTGTTAGATTAAGAATAAGGTCCTTTCAGCAACTAATGCAACAAACCATAACCAACGTGCAGCATGATCTTGGGTTTCATGGGTCAATAACGCAATTAAACTTAGATTGTCAAAACTTAATTATGGTTTTGAATAATTTAGAGGACGCAATAATGTTTTCCAAGTTAAATGCGCTGCATAACAGTATTTTGCCTACTAACGAACTAACAACTATGCTAAAATATTTAGAAAGCAGGTATAAAGTTGCAGCAATCCCAAAATTTCAAAATATACTCTCATATTATTAATTTTTTGGAACTCAGGTTAGTTTCTCTCGGACAAAAATAATTTTTGCAATACACGTACTTATACTAAAGCCAGAAGATTTAATGTTTTTCCACCTATACCCCATTGTCCCAAATAGAACCATATTCATTCCCCAATACCCTTACCTCGCACAAGAAGAAGTAGGAAACCAGCATATCAGTCACCCTTGTCCAAAAATAGAAGACACGTATTACTGCAACAAAGAGTTTCACCCACAAGATGTCTGTATTAATGAACTTTTAAAAAGCAAAGCATTACATAATTGCCCAACCTTCAACATTAATTTAGCAGAGCCAATAGTTGAACAAGTAACGCAAGAATTGGTTCTCGTACTGTTAACAGAACCTGCAAAGTTAATATCCAAATGTGGTACCGATCAGTATCACCTGCTTGAAACATCAACCCTTGTCAAGATCCCGGAAAATTGCGAAATTATAATTAATAAAAAGAAATTTATCAACAACATCAACATTCAAATGGAAAACCCATTTATCTTGCCGAAAATCACACTACCTCAAACAATAACTACGAAGTTGTTGGACGCACCAAACATTTCCAAAATTAATCGGGACGAAATTTATCATTTGAAGGAAATAGCCAATCAAAATTTACCAGTGACTCTAAACCAGAAGTCAAAACACCAAGAATACGCCTTCTTTGGTATTGTGGGCGTCTGCACATTTCTTTTGATTCTCCTATTGACGAGCCAATGGAACCGAGTCAAAATCTTTTGGCTATCGACCTGAAATGCCTTCCACAAATCTACGGATTTTCAAGTACCAGATGATTACGCAGCAACTGCCCCTTCGAAAAAACGGTCCGTTATTTTCGAATCCTGAGGAGGGAGAAGTTACATAGCGATAACAACCGATTCTGCAACCAGAATCGCAAGAAGCCACCAGGCTCCAGAATTCGACGTGTCAGCAGTTATGTTTACCTCATTTGATTGTTTCATATAAAATATCATTCTTCGTAACCACCTCGTGGCGTTAAGTAGTCAAGCCTATTTGTCGTTGTATTGAATAAAACTTTTTAAAAACGGTTTTGTTCATTAAAGTTTTATAATTCCAGAGTCTTTTATAACGAAATAAATGAAAAACTTAGAGATAAAAAGGAACATTTATCATCAAAATTTAATATGGATAAAGACAACCCTGAAGACATATTTGAACCAAAACAAACAGTTTACGTAAAAAAGCATATACGACAAAAACATGCTGACAAATTGGAAAAACCTTCTAAATTAATTGCTGTTGACTTTCAGAAAAGGACAGGTCAAACTGACAAGAAAAGAAAAATTCATCTTTCAAATATAAAAAAAAACCTCTCAAACGCAATATAGCTTTAATTAACTCATTCTGATGATGAATATAAAATGGAAACATGAAACTTTTTAAAAATACTTTTACTTACTCAAGAAACGGTCCAATCTAAAATTAGCGAATTCATTCCACACCCACAGCGAATAAGAGGTATGATTAACATTGCAGGATCATTTTTTAAATCAATAACGGGAAATTTAGATTTCGCAGACGGAGAACGTTATAATCATTTAATTAATGAACTACAAAATAATCAAAATAAACTAGCGATAAATATTATCAAAGAAAACGCTGCTTCTCTTAATCTGATAAATAAATTTAATAAGACCATTAATTAAATATCTCATAATGAAAAATAGCTTGAATCAAAATTAAGTCAAATAGCATTATTTGTTAATAAAAATACTTTAAATTAAAAATTTTTTAACTATATAAATGATACAATTAGTGAAGTAATAAATCTATACGAAATAATTGACTCTATGTTGAACGATATAGGTACGTTATAACCTTCTCTAAACTAAAAATATTACATCCAAGTATTATAAAAACCAATGATTTATTAGTAGAGTTACAGCATATTCAAAAAACCGTTTGTACTAAAAGAATGCCTATAGGAGTTTCATTAGAAAACATCATGATTTTTGAGAAAATAATAAAGGTAGATAGTTTCATCTTAAACAATAAAGTCTTAAAATCTTGTTACGCATTCCAATAACTTATACTTACGAATTCGAATATTTTCATTTATATTCAATACCTATCTATAAAAAGAGCTTATTCACGGTAATTCTTCCAAAAGATAAATTCTTAATCAAAAACGAATTGCATTTCTCATATCAAAAAGCTGAATGCCTAAATTTAAGAGATCACTACTATCTCTGTGATCAAGCTGATCTGAAAGAAAAAGGACAAAATGACTCCTGCAGAATCCAATTGATGAAAGCTAATGGACACACCCCCCTAATTGCCAACAGATAGAAGTTAAAATAACTACCCCTATATTCAACCAGTCAGACGACTCCAGCCACTGGGCCCTCATCTTCCCAAAAGACGAACGTATCCATTTGAATTGTCCAGTGCATGAAGAACATTTGACGCTATTCGGAACCTATATTGCCCATGTACCAATAGGATGCAGCATTACTTCCAGCCAAGAATCAATCAGAAATCTTCGCCAACCCTTTCAAGATCGTACTCAACCAATACTATTTCCAGACTTCAATGATAAACTCAAAGAACTACCACTACTGAACCTCAGCATACACAGCAAAGACATCAAACTGGATGACCTTTTCAAAATCAAGAACCGTATCGAAAAAATAAACTGAAATTTGTTATCAAACAGTGTATATGATTTAAAACCGAGTATATGGACAATTTGTGTATACATAATAATCACATTATTGATTTCATATTTGGCTTACAAAAAGCTCAAATCCACCCGATGTTTACTCCGAGATGCCAGAGTAGCCATTCCAGAAGAAGACGTTCAGCTTCCAAACCAATCCGTGTAAGCTGAATCTACTAGGGGAGGAGTTATGGGCCATCTCGTATAACAATAATGCTGACCATCCGCCAGTCCACGTGTGTGTCGATTCAACACTATTAAATTATGGCTGCGGAGGAAAAAATGGAGGAGAGCGCAGCCTCCTCCAGCAGTGACAGTGACTCAGTTGAGGGACCCGCTGAGGCGGCAGCTCCCTCAACTGCCTCCAAGGAGGGCAGGGGCCCGGTGACGGACTCCTCAGACGGCGAGGGATATCAAAGCTCAAATCGCCGTCGAAGGAGGAAGCGAGCCAGGCCCGTGTCCTCCTACGAGGACAATTCTAAGGCCCAGAGTTTGTCCACAGATCCGGGACAAAGGAGGGACACTCGCAGAGGAGCCCAGACAAGGACCAGCCAGCCAGAGGACAACACCAGCGAAAAGAAAAAGCAGGCCACCTCTGCCGCCCAGCAGCTTGATGCCGAGCAGAGGAAGAAGCAATCCAGAATCGGATACTGAGGATAGCAGCCAAGGCCCCGTACTTTGTCAGAAATTCCACCCTGCAAAGAGACCTCAAAACAGATGACCTGCTGGACCATATCCGGAACTTAACATCAAAG